TTATTTTTATTTTTACTTTCCATTTCAAAGAAGGTTATACTTATGGTACAAGCTACCTATTCCCCTCGGGTTACAACACAAGAACTCAAACCATAAGGGTTTGTATCCAAAAGTAATTCCTAAAACTTCATCCAAACATTTCGAACCAAGTCATGAATTGCTGATTCTTTTGTGCGGTTTGTGAGTTTTGTTCCAATTATTTGAGTTGTAGATGTAAACATTTCTTTGTACCATTCAGTCTAAGAATAGACTGATTCTTGAGTCCATGGTTCCTTAGGTTTCTTGAATGATTTTGTCGTTTTATTCCGTATGCGATCGGACCCAATGGAGACAGAAGAAGCAGTGTTGAGATTGGCCCCTTTTCCAGTGATGTACCATCTGAATCTTAAGATTTATTCCAACATTTTCGATGATTACCAAAGAGGATTTTGTGTGCTTAACTTAGAATCTCATGTTGATAAATGGAGACAGACACAACTTTAAGAGCAGACAAGTAATTTCAGTGTTTGGGTGAATTTCAAAGCATTTCTTTTTTTGCTAAATAGTAAATATATCATATTTATGAAGGTTTAGGGTTTACAGAGCATAGCCTAAAAGTTCCCAAAGCATTTCTTGTTTCATACATGAGCATTCACATGTAAAGCATGCAGTAGGTGTGTGTATTTCTTGTTTACATACTCTCATACTTTCTACTTAAGTTCAGCAGCTCAGAACATAAACCGGAAATGTCCATTTTTCCGGGTTTTTTACAAAGCGGAGCCAAAGCGAGATCTTGCACATTCAAACACAACTTAAAATAAAATAAACACAAGAGTTTTTTCGGCTGCAACAAACGAACAAAAAGCGAGATCTTGCGCATTCAAACAGAAGTTAAAATAAAATAAAACAGGAGGTTTTTCGCTGCAACGAAAGCTAGCTGAAAGTTTCACACATCATCTCCGGTTTTAAGCTTTTTATGTTGTGGGCGTTTGCTTACGGCTCCGAAACCAAAAAAACGTACTTGATCGGGCCGGAGTTGTGGCCATGGACGTCTTTTTGGTCTGGTGTCCTTACTTGGAGTTGCCAAGAAAACACGGTAACCTTTCAAACCTAAATTTTCAAGGCTGTCGACGAACTCACTAGTGAGATTATCTGAGACTACGATCAAATTTGCTTGCCTTGGATTGTGGATTGACCATAAGAGAATGTCATTTAACATTCTCTCAAGCCTAGCTTTTTTATTCCCTGGAAAAAAAAGACAAGATTACATATATCT